CATGTGTCTAAATTCATTCACATTATTGTGGATTTCTGTGAAAATGCTATAAACTTCACTGAAGTTCTCACGATTTTGCAATTAATGAACAATTTCTTTTTATATTTTCCATATTTAATTGTTCTGACAATCTTAGGATTCTTTTTTCTAGTACTGGATTCATTATCCATCTTATTTAAGGGAAAGTCTTTTGACAATCTCTTTGGATTAGACTTTCTTTTGCTCTTGTTATTGTAAATCAACAGCCAGAAACATAATTTTCTTTTTAGTGTTGATTCAAGAATAATTAGGGTTCAAAATAGTTCTTTGGTTCAACCTAACTCTCGACATGTAACTCCTCATTTTGAAGGCCTGAACTTCCAAATCATTCCCTGCTGCTGTTCAGAATGTCTTCAACCTCTTAAATAGGACAAGTTTTCAACCTGTTAACTAGAAAGCCACACAACAGTTGTATACAAAACATTCTTCGGAGATAACAATGAATAGCCAGTAATCAGCTGATTTCTTTTTTAAAGCAAATGATTAATTCCTTTACTGAAATTTTAAATAATAAAAATAAAAGTTAAAAAAACCCAACAGTGTCTTTGTAGATAAATAATTAGCAGAATAGATGAAAAAACAGAGAACTCTTAAGCATATACAAATGAAATTTCTTATATTAGATGAAGTGGTAGAAGATGCAGACAAGAAAAAAACAAAGTTGGCAAATTAAGGCATTATGCAAATGTTCCAAAGGCAATGAACAAGGAAAGAAGAAACTAGTGGAAGAAAATGATAAATAAACCCAGTGATTTTTTTCTTTTTTTTTTTCCTCTCTCAATCTACATCAGTTGATTCAATCTCCAGAGTGAGAAATTCCATTGCTCTATATGCTGTATCTGCCATAATGAGATAGGAAAACAAAATATAAATAAAAAAACAACAACCACAAAGCTGTAGTGTGTCCAGACTTGTTTCTGTCATGCAAACAGCAGAAGGAGTGAAAAGATATGCAACATGGAAGCAGCTGTTTTAATTCCAGTAATATTTTGTAAATACTCAGCTGAGATGGAAACAAAGACTCTCTGTGGCCTGACTCTAATGGAACAAAGGTTTAAAGTGTCCTGGCTGCTCCTTACAAAAATCAAGGTCACAAGCAGAAGCTGAAGCAGCATGGGTAAAGCTGATCACATAACTTGTATAAACCATAATTTCTTTGCTAGACACAGAACCAGAAGGAAACAAGGTGTGCAAGAAGAAGTTTAGCTTTCTCAGGAATCCTAAGACAGAAGTCTGTACGCTGACAACTGGCACTGATTTAATACCAAACTCTATGCCTGAAATTAGTATTTAGAGTCTCCAGAATGAGGAACAATGAAAAAGCAAACTGAATTCAAACACAGCCAGCCATGGTTGTGCCCAGCTTCCAGCTCCTCTGTCCAGGGAGCCCCCAGCTTTTCAACACCTACTAATGATTTTTCCAATTTCATTACAAAAAATTCCTTGATCTATGCTTCTTCTCAACTAGGTTCTTCTCTGTGGGCTTCTATGATTTTGGAAAATATTGCTGCTTTAGAGGTATAAAGAGTTTTATAATGTCCCCATTTAACTCCTTAATATAGTTGTAAATTATTCATTTATACTAAAAGCACACAGTTCTAACACTGATATTTTTCTGCAATACTTGAAAGGGATATTTGAAGATAAAGACAAATCCCCTTCAAACAGAACCTGCTTGTGCAGTGGTTTCTTTAGGTGTGCTGAGCAGGGGTGGAAGAAAACAGTTGGACTCTATCTTACAGTTCTTTTCCAACCTTAGCGATTCTATGAAACAAACACATATTTTCACATTTTCTTCATTAAACAGCCTCTGTTAGTTTATTAGCAAGAATAAAATGAATCATCACAAATTTCTCAGCAGGACTAGGTTACCAACACAAAAAAGTTTTCTCATAAAGAATCAGAATACACAGAACCACAGAATAAACTGAGTTGGAAGGGACCCACAAGGATCATGGAGTCCAACTCCTGGCCCTGCACAGGACTGTTCCCAAGAGCCACACCATGTGCCTGAGAATGTAATCTGCTTATTGAAATGTTTCCCTGAGGGTGCTTCACATACTGGCTTAACTAATTAATTAATTAATTACTCTGCTTTTGTTCAGTAGACGGTAAGCAAAACTGAAAAGCATTAGGAAAAAAAACCCAAATGATTTTATATGCCTATGGACAAAACATGCTCTAGCTAAAAGAAAGCCAGAAGCATATATTGGAATGAAAGCTCTGATGAGGGGAATGGAATTTTCTCCACATGCTAGGATCATGTAATTCCTAGCAGCTACATGAATAGAATCCAAGCACTTTACTCCTAAACTCTTCTTTCTAACCATTAGAAATATTCTAACCATTAATCAGGTTAATGATGAAGTAAAGTGGCTGAAGACAAATAACAAAACCATTTATTATCTTTTCATGGTAATATGCAACTCTATAAACTTTTGAGTATTGGAATTCTACTAATTTCTACTAAAAAAAGGAGAACCACACATTTGAGTTTGTGATCCATATTAGTGAACAACTAGGACCACAGTAGCCAACAAATGTTTCACATTGTTTTTCTTTCCTGACTTGCCTCTGTCAGGCAGATCAGTTTGGCAGTTCTTCCAGTCCAACCAAGGGCCAAGCTGAAGAGATGTATTACAATAAACATTGCTGACTGTCTCCCTGCTTTCAAACCAGACCACAAATACTATTTTAAAAGACTTAAAAACAACATACAGAATTGCAGTATCAAAATATTTATTTGTTAAAATGGTGTTGTTTCATATGCATAGAATATTTGTGCAGGTAGGCTAAGCACTAAAAATTATGGCCATAAAAAATTTTTTCCTGGAAAACCCAAAGATGGTAAGTACTTCAAACAAAGAACTCAATCTCAACTGCCTATATGACAAAAAATATCTCAGCTTTTTCAATACGAGTTGAAAACACCCATCCCCTAACAGGAGGAGTACATTCAGTAGGAGCAAAGGTGTGAGGAATCTACTGAGTGTTGTGCAATCTCAGTTAACACAAAAAAAGCCCACAGAGATTGGTAAGAAACAGCAGTGAGAAAACTCCACTCATTTCCTAATTGTACATCTGCTACTAGTGCTGAGGATCTGTAAGAACATTCTCACCCTCACATGATACCTGATTTACAAAAAAAATTTCTCTTTCTACAATGATCTAGTTCTTATATTTAAATATTAAAATTATTCACTAATTTGATGCCTGCTGATGGCATCTACCCCTGTCTGAGAGGAAGAAACATCTTCCAGAAACAATTTGTTGATAAGGAGCTGGGGTGTACATATTTACAACACTTTTTGCTACAAAGAGAACTATTTTGTGGTCTGTGTGTAACCTGAGACTTAAAAATCCTTCAAACCAACACTCCCTATAAAATCCCCAAATGAACAAACACCTTAATTCTCAATGGCAGCTGTTTTGTCCCTGAACTCTGTACACCAAAAAAAAACAAAACCCTGAAGTGGAAGGTGTGCTTTAGAAAAGAATTGAAAGGCACACAAAAATATGTTTTAATGAAACAGAGCTTCAACTTTGACCACAGGGCTCAAACAGCCTTTCTATAATATGTGGCCATGTCATCAGTATTTAGCTGCCTTCATGGAAAAAATTCCTTCACTGTTAGGGTCATGGATTAGAGTGTCAAATAAATGCTTTGTCCATCTTAACTAGGAGAGTTCTACTCTATAATAACTACCATGGGTTATAAAGGAACACCATTTTAAGATGATTTATGAGAAAATGGAGTATATGCCACTTGGAACAGCTAAGCTGAGCTTCCCCAGGCAGCAAAAGCCTTTGCTTGCTCCTGAAGGGGTTTGTTTAGACAAACTGTCTCACTGTGCACCTCCCTTGCTGAGCAGCCAGCTCAGCACTCAGTCAGCTGGCACCTGGATCCAACAGACAGACAGACGGACGGACGGACAGGGTGCCCTCCTCTCCCCGGCGCCTCAAACACAATCCAGGAATGGTCAGGGCTGCTGATCAGCAGAGCTACTGCTAGCTCTGACTTCATCAGGGCTTCCTGAGTCCCATCAAACTGCATCCTTCATCTGTCCCAGGATTCTCTTGGAGTCATTAATTGAAGGGATTGCTCTCCGCATTTTTAATTGGATGTATGACATTTCACAGGCATAGCTACACAGACTTAACTGGCATGTTTTTAAACTACTCTTCATTCAAATTACTATTTTTTAGCCTCTAAGAAGTGATACTTTATAGCAGCAGGAAAGCATCTTGGAAAGAAAAAAGTGAACTGGCCATTTGAAATTAACACAGGCATTTGTTTCTCCTGCGGAGAATGACATTCTACTTGCAGGAAGAATTAATTTAAATTAGAAGCCAGCTGATGGCAAAACCATTTTAAACTAAGGCCAAAAGTGACATCTTTAAGATATACAGGCTCCCACTTCAGGAGGATTGAATGGTTCACTCCAGAGAAGGGACTAATCTGTCTTCCACCGAAATGCCATCCCCCAGCCATCAAATGTCCTTGCCAGCCAGATCCAAAATAATTAGTCAGAATTGTTAATTTTGTTTAAAACAGAAATAGGTGTACACACAGTCTGGCTTACAAAACAGCAACTTGCTCAGGCACATATAAAAGTAAGTTTATTAAGCATGTACAAGGGGAAATTGGAAATACAGTAGACATTTTTTAATCCTGTGCTGTATTGGCTTTGTGTGGCCATGTTTTGGTAGCAGAGGAGATACAGTTTGGCTTCTCTGATGGAGATTTGGGCTCATTCCTCATTATCCTGCTCTCGTTTGATTGGTAATAAGCTAATTTCACCAGGTTGTGTCTGTTTTTCCTGTGATGGTAACTGGTGAGCGATCTCTCCCCACAAGCCTTTTGTTGTATTTTCCCTTTCCAGTCCAGCTGAGGAGCTGCTTCCTGGGCACCCAGGAGTCCAGGCAGGGTCAACTCTTTCAGATTTGAAAAAAATACAGCCTTTTTTTTTTTTTTTCCTTAGTGAATGGGCCCACAAGGTGAAGGCAATCATTATGCTTTAAAGCATCAAATTAGAGGCACAGAGGGTGTCAGTAACCAGCAGGGCCTGGTGACTCTGGAAAGAGCAGGAGAACTACCAGTGAGTCACCGATCTCAGAGATCAGTGCAGATCACTAATTACAGAAGCAAGGAACAGCAGAGGCCCCCTGCATCACCCGCTATTCCTCTGACCAATACATGTGCAGTTTCAATGAAGTTTCAAGTCCAGTTTCAACTAGAGTTTTCTAGTGATTTATTTGTTTTTAATGCTGGTCATGTTAGGGATTTCAGCACTTTTCTTGCCAACCTATAAAAGACAGCAAAACATTTTATTACTTGGAAACCTCTATGAATACTTCAGCTCCAGCTCAAAACATATATTAGATTTCTTTGAGTAGAGAATATCACACTGAAGAACTAAATATATATATTTTTAATATTTTCATGCTTAGCATATTTTAGCAATAGCCAAAACATTATTTTAGTAAAAAATATAAAACACTGCATCATATGAGCTGCTATGAAGAAGTTAACTCCATTGCAGCCAGACACAGTGCAAAGTGAAAACATCTGACTACTAACCAGATGTCCACAGAGTGCTAAGTTTTGCAAGAAATTAAAAGCATGAGAAGGTGGTATAAACTTTAAAACTATAGAAATATCTCAGAAGCATTAAAAAAAAACAGATTAGTAATTTCAAGTAGGAAAATACAAGGATAAAAAGAAAAAAAACAACCCTATGTACTAGGTAAAATGTCAAACACTAAGTGAGAAGAGCCTGCAGCCAAATCTGCTTGTGAATTTTAGCCATCTATTTTGAACTGTCTCTGACATGCAGAAGCAGGTATTATATTTCTGGAAGATTCAAAGACCTTCAATAAAATCTTCCATCTAGCTCTAGGAAAACTGGCAACAGTGGATTCAAGAAAAAAAATTACTAATAAAATGATGGGTTCTAAATTGACTCAGAGTACAAGAAAGATCTGTCTGTATTTCTAAATACTCACCTGAAAACCTAAGTTTAATGGTAAGCAGGAGTCAGAAAAATCTACCATAATATAAAGGAAACATTAAGAAAAGAGCAGAACAACAAAAAAAGCCACCTCATGCCATGCTATGAAGCAGGAGGGCTCTGCAGAGGGATCTGCACAGGCTGGATCAATGGACTGAGGCCAACTGTGTGAAGTTCCATAAGGCAAAGTGCCAGGTCCTGCCCTTGGGTCACAATTGCTCCATGCTGTGCTCCAGACTGGGGGCAGAGGGGCTGGAAAACTGCCTGGCAGAAAGGGACCTGGAGCTGTGGGTCAACAGTGGCTGAACATGAGCCAGAAATGTGCCCAGGCGGGCAAGAAGGCAAATGGCACCTTGACACATTATTAAAATTAATGTAGCCAGCAGGACCAGGGCAGGGACTGTCCCCCTGTACTCAGTAATGGTGAGGTCACACCTCAAATCCTGTGCTCAGTTTTGGGCTCTTCACTGCAAGAAGGACATTCAGGGGCTGGAGCAGGTCCAGAGAAGGGCAATGGAGCTGGGGAAGGGTCTGGAGCACAAGTCTGGTGAGGAGCAGCTGAGGGAGCTGGGGGTGCTCACCCTGGAGCAGAGGTTCCATGGGGACTTTATCACTCCCTACAACTGCCAGACAGGAGGCTGTAGCCAGGTGCAGTTTGCCTCTTCTCCCAGGTAACAAGAGACAGGATGAGAGGAAATGGCTTCAAGTTGTGCTAGAGGAGGTTTAGATTGGATATTAGGAAAGTTTCTTTATTGAAAAGGTGATCAACCATCAGAACAGGCTGTGCAAGGAAGCAGTGGACTCAACATCCCTGGAAGTGTTCACAAGGTCTGTGGATGTGACACTTGGGGACATGGTTTAGTGGTGAACATGATCATGCTGAGTTAACAGTTGGACTCGATGACCTTGGATGTCTTTTTCAAACTTAGTGATTCTGTGACTATGCAAAAGTGATTATAGAAACTATTACAGAGAACCCTAGGCAGAGAACACACTGTTTCTTGCCCATTCCAAGTGTTTCCAGCTACTGACTGTACTCACACTTTCTCTGAAGAAAATCATAATGCACATGCTACTTTCATCTACATATTCAGAAACTGAAAAGTTGTCTCAAACCAGTTCATATGCTAAAGCCAGAAGTGAAGTTTTCCTGTGATGGAACAGTAATCAGCAGACAGCTGAAGACTGAATTTTACAAATGTATTCCAAGGAAGAATTATGTTTTCAGGATAAAACCAGCCCCCAATCGCTTCACAGTTTGCAGTCACGATAGAAAGCTTCAAAAAACTGGAACACTTTGTTTTGGTGACCCCAAGCGATTTGTTGCTTGACCATTTTTTTTTTACCAGGGAATAAACAAAAAATGTTTCATCTGCCCAAAACTGAGGCAATTTTCTTTATGAAGAAGGAAAAGGATGAGCAATTTAGTTTGGAAAATTTGAAGTGTATTTTATAGAGAAACCAAAGAAGATAAGATTTAGGAGCTCTAATGAGCTAACAGGTCAAGAACAGGTAATTTGAGTTTATAATTTGACCTGAGAGTTTATTTTAAAAGGACATTAGAAAAGGTGACATTTCTAAAATAATGCAAATATTAACACTGGAGCTAGCACATACAAACAGCAGAGGGCATGGACACTTGGGATGTCAGAGGTGAGACAGCTGCAGTAATTGTCATTTTGCATAGTTGAAAAATTCTACCACTGATGACAGTAAAATAGAGCCAGGTACTTTATGAAAGCAAGAGTTTCTCAGCTCTATCAACATATTTCAAGCTCATTTTAATTAAGCTTTGCCACAGAAGTTAAATTCTACATATATGTGAAAGTAAAACTGTCATACTAATGGAGTATAATCACAACAGACTGGAAAAATAACAGAAAACTGCAAAAAAAAATCAGTGGCAAATTTTGTCTACAAGCAGAATCCACAATGTCATAGTGAGCAACTGTAAAAAAGGCAAAACCTGAATTTTACCATTAACTCAAAACTCACATAAAGTTAAGGTAATGTGGACTAAGCCATTACTTTGCATGTGTGTGACATTGACCTTAGGGAAAAGTTAAATAGGCAGGTTAAATAGAGGAGATATTACTGTACATCCCTTCAACTGCTCTATTCTGAACAAATATCATAAAGTTAAGGTAATTTGGACTAAGCCATTACTTTGCATATGTGTGACATTGACCTTAGGGAAAAGTTAAATAGGCAGGTAGAGGAGATATTACTGTACATCCCTACAACTGCTCTATTCTGAACAAATACTCACTGTTGTCTTTTTAAGCAGATTAGGGTTCAATGCCCCAGGCCAATGAGTGTTTAAGAAACCATATGGACAATGCCCTTAGCAGCAGCTTCAACTGCTGCTCAGCCCTGAATTGGTCAGGCAGTTGGATGAGATGGTCATTGTAGGTCCCTTACAACTGAAAATAACTCCATTCTGCTCTGTTCTATGCTAAAAATTTGAGAGGTTAAATATATCCAAATCAATCTTAAAGCTAAATTTAAACACTGGACTCTCCTATGCCAAAGACAATCATTCACATAAAGCTTTGTTTGAGTTTGACATTATTTTTTATACAGTGAAAGAAGCCATCCAGAAAAGCAAACTCTGTCAAAAGAAGAGAGCAGAACTCATGTTTTTAAAGACACAGGACAGAAACACCTGTACAGGATCATCCTTCCTCACCCAAAGCAAACTCTGTCAAAAGAAGAGAGCAGAACTCATGTTTACACAGGACAGAAACACCTGTACAGGATTATCCTTCCTCACCAATGTGTGATACTCACCTGCAGGGCCTATACCACTTCTCACTGAAAAACTACAGTCCACTTTGTGAGAAACAGAATAGTTGCTATGAAGAACAAGCATTTCAGGTAGTTGTAAGACAATCATTACTGTAATAAACATTTTGACCATTTTGAAAGAAGTTTAAATACCTCGTCTAAGTTCAATTTTGCTTTTTTGTGTTACAAGGAACAGACAACTCCCCTCCATTTAAAGCCAGCACTGGGGATTCCAAGCCAGGTCTCATGGTGGGAACACACTGTCCCACAACCTGCTTCAGATATTTTTGCTGGATGTTTTCTTACCTCCATCTCCTTCTTCTTCTCCTTCATTTAGAACAATAATGCAGATGTGTTTAGTCAGCTGACGTGTGTTGGAGAATTTCCGATTGCACTTCCTGCACTCCAGGCTGCTTGGTGAGACTTCAGATGGTTCTGGGCCTTCTTCTGTCCCAGCTGGAGTCTCCTTGCTTGGAACAGGGTTATTTTCTGCCACATCTTCATCCACACAAAACTTCTTAGTGGACCCTTTTGGTCTGCCCCTTTTCCTCTTCGCTACAAGAAACTCTAGAAAAGAAAATTGAAGTTTAAAGTAAACTACAATTGAACTCCACGGCTAATTAGCTAATATGCCTCTGATCTTTGAAAAATAGGTGCCTTAAATGAAGTTTGAGGGGAGGTATCCCAAAAGCTTAAAAAAGGTTAGCAACACAAAAACTTATTTCAAGCAGTGGTATTTGCTGGCATTTCTGGTAGCTGCAAAGCAATAACATTTGTGTTATTGAGATCAGCAGATGTCAAAGTGCCACAGTTTTACTTAATTACACTCCAAGCACTGTATCAGCACATGTATTCTACAAAATTGCTCTACTGTGTTTCAACACTACAAAAGCCTTTTAATTTCAATAATTTTCAAATAAATTATCCAGTTATTGAGATGTAATCAGATAACCAAAATTTCATTGTCCTTTTAATAGAGAGAACAATTATTCCCTAATATTTTCTGTGGTTCTTGATTGTCAGCACTTTCTAGCCAAAAGCTGGCATAAAAAATTGTTGGTAACAAATTAATTCCAGAAGTTCATGCAAAAAATATTTCCTGAATTAAAATTGGAAGTCATCCACAGCTCCTAATAAATACAATTCAATTTAAAATTTCCATATTTCTGTGGAGAAACATTGATGAAACCTATGACATGCAGTACACAGAAATGCATGTCAATTATATTGCCTGCTCAAGATTTCCCTCATCACTGCTGTACTGATAAATTGAGATCGACAATGTAGAAGTCTGAAAAACCACGAAAAGAGAGAATATTAAAAAAAAAGCCGAGCCACAAAAATTTTACAAGTTCAGGTGCTGAAAGACCTTATTGAATTGGTTGATTTAGACGATATGGAAAAATAAATTACTTAAGGAATCTTAAAGGAAGATGATGCAGGAGAACAGAAGAAGGTTATTTATAACCATGTTATTTATAACCTAAACAGCATTCCCCTAAAACATACCAGGCAAACAAAACCCCACACTCAGAGACCACAGCTTTGAGATAACCATGTAATTACTATCAGATGAAAAAAGAAAGCATTCTGTCTTCTTATAGGAGTGACTGAATACCTGTCTGCTTAAATAAATGTAATAAAACTTCCAAAAAAAACTTACTATGAATAGGAAAAAAACAACTGTTTCCCATAACTTTTTGCAACTCTCCATCAGTCCTGAACTTTCATGCTACTCTAAGAAAAGTAGTTTTGTCAATTTCAGCCAAAAAGAAAGGGGTGATTTCAGTGCTCTCAAAACTTCTCTTTGTTACCGTTCATGTTATTTTGATATCCATCCATCACAGCAATCAGTATTTAAATTGAAGAAATTAACAAACAATTAAAAGAAACTAAACAACAATGATCTTTACATTAACCCATCAAAAGGCCACAGTTTGCTAACTGGCCCACGTGAGGGATACACATATGGATGCTGGTCAGACTACTATAAAATAGTTAAATCCAAAGCTTGGAAGAATGCAACCACCATATTCTCTGTGTATTATATTATTTTCATTCCTTTAGAATGCAATCATCAGATTACCCAACAAAAAGAAATTAAGAAAAACCAGGTCAAAAAGATGCCGCTTCCTGACTGTTTTAGTGAAAATTTAATGAAAAACAGAATAGCACTTTCCCATTAAGACAGACGTTGAAATAAAATCTTGCATGCAAGTAGAAATATGAAAGTGCTGCTTTAGATGGCTGGTGAGAGACCCTCTGCTATGACTTACAAAATTGCAGTTCTCATTACTGTGATTACTAATGGTGTAGCAAATAAAGAATGTGCAAATATTTGAATGTTTGTAAATGTGTTCAGCAGCAGAAGAATTACAGCAGTTCTCTACCATGTAAAAGGTTTGGTGGCAAGAGGCAGGCAGCAATGACACAGGAACAGGAGGGCTCATGTGGGCAACTGAAACATCACCAGAACTTCTGAGGTTTATTACAGTAATTTCTTTCCTTGCTCCTTGGTTTCCTTTTTCCAAGACAGAACTTATCTCAAGTTACTTTGAGTTAACAATGTCAGAATTAATTTTTTAATGATGCACAAAACCATAAATTCCAGCTGTCTCTCTACCCAGCTTGCCCCCTGTGAGCTCTTCACGCTGCAGTATACAAATTCCAGCTCAAACCACATAGGATCAACAGCATACATTAATTTAATAGCAGAACATTGTCATTCATCTGCCACTACATAACCAAGTTAATCAAATATTGCTTGTTAGAAAAAAGAACCTATTTAACTGCTAAAAATAAAGTAGTATATTAAATAAATAATAACCCCCCCCAATACTTATTTCAAGGATGCTTAGTCATAAACGGAAGTTTTAAATTGGTCATTAAAATATTTTGAATTAAGATCCTGTTCCCTCAAGAACA